TATTATGTGTTTTATTGTGGTGTAATTGAACAGGATTATCTGAGAACACAATATATTTCCAGAGCAGTGCAAAGAAAACAAAAATAATGATGACACCTGCCTCGTCCCACACACACCACTAGGCTGTGTGGGGACACCCTCCATGTGTGCACTGGCTGAGAGTTGGCCCTGAGCTGCTTGTGGCCACAAGAGGCAGAGATGGGAATGGGAGGGACATGGTACCAGAGGCAGAGGGGCTTGGGGCGGCTGGGTCTGAGTGAATGGCCAGGCAGGGGCTGGGCTCAGCCCAAGAGCCCCTAGAGCTGTGGGGATGGGATACATGGCAGGGTGGCATGGCAGTACTTGGCCACACAGAGTCACTGCATGTCTTTCACCAGTCCCCATACTCCCAACTGCTTTTACCCCATCCCTGAGATCCCCTTGGTCTGTACCCCACCTGCATAAGCTGGCGTTGCTAGGCTGAGACATGACAAATTTACGTCTGGTGGGCTGCAGGTCTGGCATGCTGCCCTGCAAACCAGCCGTGGTGTCTGTCTTCTCCTGGAACTGGCAGCACTGCAGTGAGCGCCCACAGACTCAGTCACTTCACTGTGCCAGGAGGGACCTGTTTCCATGGGTGTCCTGGTTGGGGGCAGAGAAAACTCACTTGGCCAGTGAGTTCTGGGGGGCTGACAAGCCCAAAGGTGACAGCGCTGCCTCTGCAGGGGAGCCCAGGATGCAGCAGTGGATGCAGGGGAGCAAGGATGCTCAGTCCTTTCCCAAGATGGCTCATCACAGAGGTCAAGGGCCAGTCCCAGAAAGGCAGCAGCTGGACGTCACCAGGGGTGCTGGGGGTGTTGGGTGGCGCTGGGCTAGGGACATCGATTGGTCCCTGGCATCTTTAATGAGTTGCCCGACCACAAGCTTTAACCTTGCCCATAATGAGGGTGAGCAGCAGCAATTCCTACCGCCTCAGCCGGCTCCCCCAGCCTTAATGAGCTAATCAATACTTGTTCTCAGCTTAATTTCCAGCTAATTGCTCTTTAATGACGCCTGGAAACGGGCAGCCTCTTGTAGGGGGGGAGCGGGCAGGCTCCCCCTCCCCAGTGCCCATCCCCAGTGGCAGGGGGTGCTGGGGCACTGGTGGTGGGTCACCTTCCCTGGCTGCATCCCAGCCCTGCTGGCACTGCTGGAGGCTGGGGAAAGGGAGGGTGGCAAAGAGAACAGAGGGTACGGTGCCACTGAGCTGGCAGCACCCTCTGGAGCAACCCGTCTGGGGAGTCCATAGAGCCCTGAGCACACAGGGCAGCCTGAACAGAGGATCCCCACATCCCAGGAAGGTACCCAAACTCCTCAGGACACTACATTGCGGTGGGGGCTCCCAGGCTCTGCTCCTGGCGGGGCTTTTAGCTTTCAGGGGAATGGGGTGGTGGAGCTGAGGTGTCCATGCATTGCCCCAGGATCTGCAGCCTCCAGCTACAGGGTCAGTGTCACCGCAAGGGAACGAGGCCGAGGCCAGCAGTGCCCTGGAGGTGGCAGCAGAGACCCCGCAGCCTCTTGCCCGCACCGCCTGCCCGCACCCCTGTGCGGGGTAGCGCGGCGGGCCGACCGGGGGGAGGCAGGACTGCGGGGAGGTGCGGGGTCGGGTGGCGGGGGAGCCAGGCGGGTCACGGGGCGGTGGGATCCGCTCTTACGTGGCACCTTGCCAGCACGGGGATATCCCCCGGCAATGCAGCCCCTGCCGCCTCTTCGGTTCCAGACCCCGAGTTATATGACCTGCTCTTAGATGGGGCTTATGGGAAAGCCCCACGAAAGCGGCGGGATTCTTCCGGGGATAGAGCTGATAGAGGTGGCCGGGGACGCTGGGCAGACTGGGGACCGGAGTGTCCCTTACCACTTCGCCATCGCGCCTCGGGGCCGCCTGAGAGCCCCCGGCCCCTGCACACAGCTGCAACTGCTTCCCCAAGAATTTGCTGACGGATTAGTTCTTCAGAGGAATTCGCTCTGGAAAAGCCTAGAGAAACCTGAGCCTGGCTGCTTCCCAGCGCGGATCTGGCCTGGCATGCAGATGGGGGGGACCTGCCTGCTGCCCATCCCTTGTCCCTGCAGTGGAGCCCCAGAATGTGGCTTGGGACCCCTCGAGAGCTGTGCAGCCTTGGTGTGGGCTGGCCAGAACCCGGCTGTGTCAGGCTGCTCCAGATGGCAGGAAACAGAGAGGAGCAGCAGCGTTTGACGCAAAATGAGAGAGATTTGGTGTATTATCAGAAGGAGACCCCCTTGGCCCCAGGCAGCGTGCTGGCAGCATTCTGTCCCAGCATCCCCGGTGACATTTGCTTCTGGCGTGACACAGGCCACATTCTCATCCCCACCAGCCCAGCTCTGATGCTGCTCACCAAGCCCTGCCTGACATGACGTGCATTGAGTCACTTGGCCCAGAGCTTTTTTTCCACAGTGGATTTTTTTCCTTGGCTTCGTCTGCTGTAAGCCCCAGATCCCTGTGGGGTGGTCTGGGAGATCAGCCCAAAGCTGGGGGAGAGCCATGAGCAGTGTGGTACCCCTGATTGGCCGTGATGGCTCCGTCATCAGTGTGTCAATCTGATGACAGAGGTCTGGAGGGATGCCATGGATGTGGGTCTGCCAGGAGCATCCACAGACTCCTGGCTTCAATGGAACCATCACAAGATGGGAAAACAGTGGTATGGAGTAACCCAGCAGGGAGAAGGAGGAGGCTTTGGTGCTTGAGGCTTAATCTTCAAAGCCCAGTTTCAGGAGCTTCACTGGGCTCAGGAAAAGGGAGGAGAAAGGAGAAAGAGATAGCTAGCACAGGTGGGGAGCCAGGAATGCAATTTATCCTGGTGCCTGGCCATACAGGGCTGTGACCACACTTTTCCCCCGAAAGCTGCGCCAAGCAACACAAGCCCCAAACCCCATTTGCAGCCAGGGGCCGCGTTGATTGACTCAAGGTGTGATTGAGCAGAACTCCTTGTTCAGCACAGGTTTAGATCTTCCACCCCTCATTCATACCTGCTACTGTTCATTAGCACATTCAATAGTGTCATCAAGCAGCAGGTTTAATTACCTGCCAGGTTTGAGCTCCATCTTGTTGAGTTGAGGTGAGCTGAGCTGCCCATGGCTTTCAGGCTGTGGGTTGTGTTGCTCCATGGCTGGAGATGTTCCTGCTCAGATCTGTGTTTGGATTTCACCTCTGGCCAGGGAATCTACATCTGGAGACTTGGCCTCTCCCCACCTTGTGAGCAGCTGATGTTGCAGTGGTGCTCAGATGAATCCAGCCACCCAGAGGTCTTCATGGTGACCCCATGAAGACAGGGACATACCAGGTGCTCGAGCCATGGCACATGGCAGAAGGTCCTTCCCCACATGTGTGGAGAAGGACAGCATCAGGGCCTGCTCCCCTTGCCCTCCTGCCAAGGGCAAGAGACACAAATAACCAGGGACCATTGATGGCCTTCTTTTCAGTGGTGCCTGGGATTTAAGCACTGGCTCTATTTCTGTGCCAACCAGGAGCTTTGTGGGCAGAAGGTGGGGCCAGGCTTGCCCCACTGCTTTGCCCCCTGGATGGAGCAGGGACAGGTGAGGGTGTGTTTGGTGCAGGGATGCCTGAATGTGCAGGCAGTGCTTCACCCCAGGGTGGGAAAGGTGGCATGGTAGGGATAGCCCTGGAGGCTCAGCACCCCTGTCTGGGTCACCTCCAGTCTGTCTCCTCTCTGCTCAGGCTCTGACCCAGCTCTGGGGGTGCATGTAGGAAAACCTCAGCTCTTTCTGACTTTTTTTCCTGTTCCCAAAACAGCTGCAGCCCCAGCTGCTCAGCAACTCATGGATGCCGGACCTGAAAACTTGTGGCATGTGGGGACCGAACTCCATAGGCTGGGCAAGGGGAGCCAGAGAGGGAGGCAGCCCTGAGCCAAGGGGCTGGGGGCCACAGAGGGGGAGTGGGATGTGAGACTGAAGGCAGAGCTGCCAGGAAACCCCCCTCTGCAGTAGGGGCCTGGAGGGGGGGGGTTGGCTGGCAAAGGCGGATTTAGGGGGGCTGAAGCCTGGCGCATTTTCCATCGTTAGACACGGCTGGATTCACAACATGACTGAGTGAAAGCCCTGGAACTCGGAATGAATTTGCAGGAGGGTGTTGGAAAGCAAAAGCAGATTTTTGCAGCGTGGTGAAGGAAACCAGATCCTTAGAGGGGTCCTTCTTTGCTTGAGCTTCACCGGGGAAGTAAATCCTACAAATTCCTTGCCTGGAGGAGAAGAGCTGGCTGTGTGATCCCCCAGCACATGTGGAGCAATATGCAAATGTACAGCTTGTTTGTGCTGTAAAGTCACATGCTGGCTCCCCCATTCCTCAGAGCCAGGGAAACTGAGGCAGGGAGCAGCAAAGCAGCTTGCCAGGGAGGTCTGGAGCCCCAGCCCTGTGCATGAGGGTTTTGCACTGCTGTGGTGTGCAACATCCCCACCGTTGCTCCCAATAGCTCTGCTCCAGCCAAGGTAATGCCATTGTTTGCTCCCCTATAGCCTCTTCATACCTGGTTCCTGAAATGGGGCAAGTGCAGATACCCCCAGGAATTATTCCCCCATTTACTTACAGCAGCTGCTCAGCCTGTCTTTCCCAACCAAATTACAGGTTGAGAGATGCTTTTGACCACTTCCTTAGCCATGCTCACCCCTCCCATTCACTTGTCCCCAAGGACCCCTGCAAAGTTGGTTTCTGCCCCCCATCCCAGTCCCCTACTGCCCCTTGGATGGAGCTGAGCATTAGCCCAGCTCCCGCACACGGCCAGGGGTGACTCCTGCGTGGGGGTCCGCGGGGAGGTGCCGGGGGGCTGAAGCGGCAGAGCCCCGGGGTCAGGGTGCGGTGCGTGTCGGGACCCCGGCAGGGAAGGGGTGCCGGCCAGCCCGTGTCCCGGTCCAGGGACGGGCTGCGGGCCCGGAGAGGGGCGGGGGGATTCACGTTTCGCTGACATCACGGCGGTGCTGGAGCGGCCGGGGGCCAGCAGCCCCGGGGGCCAGCAGCCCCCGCCGCCACGGCCCACTGCGCACCCGCGGCCACAGGCACCGGCGCCTCCGGTAAGTGGCGGCTGATGGCGGGTGGCTCCCGGGGGACCCCAGGGGACGCCGTGCCCCTTCCCAGTACTTATCCAGGACCGCCAGTGTCTGCACTCCCAACGTGGGGATCCAGAGACCAACTCTGCAGTTACTCACCACCCTTTCTCTGGCCCCCCACATCCACCGGGGGATGCAGCCTTGCTTCGTACAGACTGGGGTAGAGTGGGACGGAGGGGCCTCCAGCACAGGGACTCCCTGCCCCTTTCCACCCCTGGGGGGCTCGGTGGTCTCAGGTAAACGGGTCAGATCTTCACGGTTTGTTATCCGGGGGGTGCATGTACGCAAGCCACTGTCCGGGCCACCCTCCCCACCCCACCCCAGCTCTGGGCTGCGTTAGTGGGGGGTGGTGCAGCTGGGAGGGCTGCAGCCTGCTCCTCGGTGCTGTTCCCAGCAGGAGGGGAGGGGCTAGCCCGTCCACCTGGGTCCCCTCCTCAGCCCCGCTCGCTTATGGTGGGTCACCCTGGGCCAGGGGACTATAATTTCACCTCGTCTCAGGGAAGGCAGCCAGGGTGTAACTGAGAGCAGGGGGAGGATGTTCACAAAGGGGTTTGGTTCATTGTCACCCTCTCTGGGGACAGGCTCTGAGACTCCACATGTCCCCCCCAGCAGAGATGAGAAGCCTGGGGCAGATCAGCCCCTGCTTACCCTGGGTGGGTAATGCAGGCTTGGGGTTTGGGGACAGGGACCCCGCTGTGCTAGTACAGGCTGACCACACTGGGCACTGGGTCTGCTGTCAGTCCACTGGCTGCCCATCTGTGCACTGAGCTCCTCCATGCTCAGCCTCAGTTGCCTGTGTGATGACTGACAGGGTCACAAAGCCTTCCTAGGGGGATGTTTTTTTCCCCTGCTCAAGTGGGTGATGCCTATAAAGAGGGGTTACAGTGCAGGGAGGGAAGGAGAACAAAAGCCAAGCATGACTGGGAGCATACTCCTGGCTTGGCTGCATCCAGCACAGAAAGAGCACCTTGTCTGCAGGATCAGCCACTCCGTTGTGCTTGTATGGATGGCAAGGGACAGAAAAAGGGCTTGTGACTCTTGAAAACTGATGGGTAAAGAAAAGGGGTATGAGAGCAGCTTCCTGAGAGCAGTGAGCAGGTGAGGAGCAGGATACAAACCAGCTGAGCCATAATGATGTAGAACAGCCTGTTCAGTGCCCTGCCATCCCTGTGGCTCCTCAGGCCATGCTGGGGGCAGAACAGGCTGGACTTTGCATGCTGGTCTGCCAGGGAAGAAGAATGAAACCTGGTGGGGCTGGGGTCAGCAACCTCATCCAATCAGAAGTTGTACAGCATCTCAGGGCAGGAGCTGGTTGGGGAGCTCCAGGGTGTGAAGGATGTGGCTGCGGTGCTGGGGGTGAGAGAGGTGGGACCAACCCTCCCCTGCACATCAAGCATCACTGCCACTCAGGGCAAGACAGCCAAGAGCCAAAGGGGGGGAGACTCTTCCTGCACCAGTAACACACCTCCTCCCTCCTCACAGGCCAGAATGGCTCCTCAGATCTAGACAGGGAGGCCAGAAAAGTGCCAGAGATACCCATCCAAGTGACAGTGGGACTGGGATAGCGGAGCTATCATGAGGATGTCTGAAGCCAAGCCCCTCAGCTCCTCTTGCCTCGTGCTTTCCTTGCTCTCCTTGCACTGGGCTTTGCTCCAGCTGGGCCACGCTTTTCCCAGCACCTCTGACTACCTCCAGCGGGGCTGGCAGCGGCTGCTGGAGGAAGGGGAGGGCTGCGCCGAGTGCCGGCCAGAGGAATGCCCGACACTGCGTGGGTGCCTGGCTGGCACGGTGCGGGATGCCTGTGACTGCTGCTGGGAATGTGCCAACCTGGAGGGACAGATCTGCGACCTGGACAACACCAACCACTTCTACGGCAAGTGTGGGGAGCACATGGAGTGCCGGCTGGATGCTGGGGACTTGCATCATGGAGAGGTGCCTGAGCCCCAATGTGCCTGCCTCTCCCACCTGGCCCTCTGCGGCTCCGACGGAAAAACCTATGCCCAGATCTGCAGGTTCCTGGAGGTTGCCCATGCCCACCCTGATGCCAACCTCACCGTGGCCCACGAGGGTCCCTGCGAGTCAGGTAGTGCCCTTGGAGCTGCAGGATGGATGGAGGCTTGTACCTCTAGGGAATAGACGAGCAAGGGGGTCTGGCTTGACTGTTTCTCCTGACAGCAAACCCACAGCATCCACAGGGATAAGGCAGCACTGGGGGCTGCTCCATACAGTGTCCCCTAGTCCTCCCATCCTGCTGCTCCAGGGCAGCCCTTGTGGATCAAGCTCTTGGAGAGGTCTGGGAGCAGCTTTGCCAAGAGGGAGTGGGGTTTATGGGAAGCAATGAATCCTGCTGGAGCAGATGGGGAAGTTCCAGGGAATTGTTAGCGAATTCTTGGCGGCAGTGCTGGGTTCACACTGGCCCATTGCTCCCGAGAAATGCTCCTGCCTCCTGCAAATGGAAACCTGGGTCTGTTTGACTTGGCTGTGTGATTTCCATCTCCCATTTAAGACTTAGCTGGGGGATGAGAGGGACAGATTGGTAGGGGGGCTGTGTCCCAGCCTGCCCAGTCTGGCACAAGTCACCCAGTGCTGTCACCACAGCCTGAGGGGTGTCAAGGTTGACTTTATTTTCTGTAGATCATCATATTCTTGAGTTTTTTCCCAGGTGTATTTGGAGGGGAAGACTTCCCTTGACCTCTGGCTCATGCTATGGGCCAGATTGTGGAACAGATGTGGGTTGGAAGGGTAGTCCTCACTCTGTCTCTCCAGGGAAGGGATGTGGAACCTAGAGATGTTGGCTTTATCCAGCAGCTGGGGACCTGCTGACTCCCTTCATTGCTGGCATTAGCCCTGTGTCAGAGCAGAGGCCTTATTTGGCTGGAAGCTCATCTACCTCATCCATCCCCAGCTGCCTTGGGCTGGATGAGCACCCCAATGGGCTGGGGAGGGAGTCCCCAGTCCCAGCTGTGAGGAGCGACCATGTTCTGGGGAATGGTGAGAGTCTGCCACGGGTGGGAGAGGAGGGGCATGGGAAGGGTCCCAGCATTTCTACGTGAACCAAATGCTGCTGCCCAAGAGACCAGCCCAGGAGAGCCCATGGAACCTGCCAAGGATGGAACCTCTTCTGAGCCCACCCTGGTCTCCTGTACCCCCTCCCCAGAGCCCCAGATCACCTCTCCTCCCTATGACACATGGAACATCACTGGGCAGGACGTCATCTTTGGCTGCGAGGTCTTCGCCTACCCCATGGCATCCATCGAGTGGAGGAAGGATGGCACAGACATGCTGCTGCCTGGAGATGACCCCCACATCTCTGTCCAGGTGAGTGGTGTGCCTAGGGCATTGGACACGGGCCAGGGGTGACCCAGTGCTTCTCAGAGCTCATGGACAACCGGACCTGACAGTGGTTGGTCATACTCAGGGGATGGCCAAGCCTGGCTGCCTGGGAATGGGAAGGGGTGACTGGAGGCTGCATACAATGAGGACTGGCTGAGCCAGGGCTGGTGTCTTGGTGATAGGAGCCATCAGCATAGCTCTCTTCTGCAATTTCCTCTAGTAGTTTTTGAACTTGTTCATATTTTTTAGGACCTGCAGAGTCCTGCAGCAGGTAGTTTCCCACCTCCCTGCCTTTAGTTTGCTCTGCTTGTTGGCTTCATTTGCAACCCTACTGGAAGGGCTAGAGGAGAGGCCCTCCTGAGTGCCTTCCAGCCTGGGTTATCCTCTAGTCCTACAAGCATATCCAGGCAGTCCCTGCCCTTTTTTTCACACCAGCAGGACTCCCCTCCTAGAGCTGACAGGCCAGGGGTCAGCATCCTGCCTGTGGCCAGCCCCAAATATAGTGCCCAGCTGGGCACACCTAGCTATTAGAGGGTGTGGGCAGAGGCATAGGGGCTGTCCACCTCAGCCAGGCACCAATGGGGAGGAAACTATGGTGGGATGGATGTGGGAAGCCAGGAGAGCTGGTGGAACCTGGCACCATTGTGGTGTGACGTGCTGGTCCCTTTCCATCTTTCTGCCCTTTAAGCCTCCCCACAGCCTGTTGCAGGGTCTGACCAAGGATCTCCACCCCAGCAGGGCTACCCTGTCTGGTTGGAGGAGACTCTACTATCCTCCACCCCTGACCACTGCACCATAATAGCAGCCTGCAAACACAGCTGCAGCACAGCTGGGTCAGGAAAAGCCTATTTATTCCTGTGGATAAACAGAAAATAGCAAGGTTGCTGCCAGAGCAATCCTGGGACCTCACTGCCTGCCAAAACAGGGGACTCGGGACTCCGTGGCACAGATGCCCCCTTGTTTCTGCCACAAGAGCTCACCGAAATCCCTCCTTCTTGCAGTTCAGAGGTGGCCCTCAGAAATATGAAGTGACAGGCTGGCTCCAGATTCAGGGTGTGCGGGTGACGGACGAGGGCACATACCGCTGCTTCGCCAGGAACAGCGTCGGGGAGGTGGTGGCAGTTGCCAGCCTGACTGTCTTCACACCGGGTGAGCACCGTGTCCTTGTCCCCATGCTCTTATGGGGACGAGGGAAGGGATGTCTGGGCCGAGTGCAGCAGTACAGCGGGAGGTGTTGGAGCACAGGGCTGTGCTGGGGATGCCCCAACAAGCTGCTATGCATGGTTTGGCTCTGGTCCTTGTGGGGGAGGGGACAGGTACTGTAGGGCGGCAATGTCACATTGTCCCCATGCTGCTGTTTCAGACCAACTCAACCTGACAAGCTTTTCCCTGCCGAAGGCCCATGTGACACCCGAGGACTACGGGGACAGTGAGGAGGACTACTACTAGCCCAGAGACAGGATGTCTGACTGCAGGGATCACCTTGCCCACAATCACAGTTCCTGTGTGTTGGGGACATCTCTGGAGCAAGCACCCTCTAGCCCAAAACTTCTTCTCAAACAATCCTGGCACACCAGCCTGTTTTTTAGGGTGGGGGATAGGGTGACACATCGTTTCAGGGTGCTTGGGGAGGGGATACTGGCTGGTTGGTAGCACAGGGCTGGGACCAGGGGCAGCTCTGCCTGGAGCAGGGTGGGTCTGTCCTCTGGCACTGAGTGGAGACACGGTGGCAGTTGGGACACTGCGGGGACAGCTGTGCCGTGTGCGATGAGGACTTGGTGCCGGGGGTGGAGACAGCTCCCTTTGGGAGAGTGAGGGCAAGGCAGGGGCATCACTGCCCTTTAAAAAGCATTTTTGGGGAAGCTGGAGCAGAGGGTTAGGACCTGGCTGTGGTATCCAGTGTGTCACCCCCATGTCTGTTCTGTATTCCTTGAGCACAGAGACAGCCCGGCTTCTCCCCAGGGTTTAAGGAACCTGCTGCCAAAACATCCTTCTCTTCTGTTTTGTTTTTAACCAGAAAAGTAGTGATTTGAGGAAACCAGACACTTGTGGCTTTCAGTGCTGTCTTTTCTCCAGCCCAACTACCCTTGTGGTCAGAAACACTTTGGCTTTTTTTGACTGACTTCATGCTTTCCCTTCCATGAAGCTCTTTTCTTTGCCGTTTCAGTTAATGTTATTTAAAATATACACGTAGGTCAAAGCCAAGAGGCCAGTTGGCTGTCCTACATCCACAGGGATGATTATGGGGGTGAGGGAAGGTGCAAACACTGTGGATGCTACCTTGTCCACTGCGGGGGTGCTTGAGGCGAGGAGCCCTCCTGCCCATTCTGGTGCTCACAGCTGGTCCTGGTGTGGGTCCTGCCCTTCTCACCCCACATGGGGATGGGGGTTCCATCTCCTGTGCAGTGGGGATGCATCAAGCCATGTAATTGTACCCACATCAGTTTGGATCCTATTCCACTGCTTTCATCTTGGGGTCCTAGGTTCTGTGACACTGGGGCCTCCATCAAGGTGACCACAGCCCTGTCAGTATGGAGCAGCTCTGTGCCTAGGTGGGGAAGAACAGGGAGGCACCAGTTTCTACTGGAAAAGCTATCTTTAAAAAAAAATATCCCACCTACCTCTCAGAGCTGGTGATTTAGAGGAAATTTTCATTTGTGGGAAGCATGGAAAGGAAGCTCAGAGCTGCACTGTGCTGCTCTGTGCCCAGAAAGGGCTGTCAGGACCCCTTCCATGGGCATTCTGGGGCTGAGCTCACACTCAAGGGATGGTTTTCCCCCCAAACCAGCAGCATATACAGGACTTCTGGGGCTCAAAACATCCATATGGACCAAACCACTCCCAGTTACTCAGTCCCCGCTCCAGGGAGGTCCAGAGCTGTGGGCTGAGGCAGGAAGCCAGATCCCATGAGGAAGGAGTTGGCCAGTCCCCAGGCAGGAGCAGGCAGGATGCAATGAGGCTGGTGGCTAGGACACCGCACTACTCTCCTTCACTTGTTTTTTCTTTTCTTTTCTTCCTCTTTCTCTTGAAAGCTGGCTCAGACGACTCAATTACAGCACTGAAACCTGAACAAGCAAATAAAAGGGATTTGTCTGGAGTTGGCAGCAGAGCAAAAATTCCTGCAGATAGTGAGGCTGGGCCAGCCCTGGCCCCTGCACCACAACTTGACAGGGCACAGCCATCAGCATTGCTGCCCTGCCTGCTGGAGTGCCTGCCCTCTGTGGTAGCAAATCCTTTTTCAGCTGGGGAAGTGCAAAAGCTGCCCATGTCTCAGTTTCGCCTTCCCTCTAACAGCGTAACAGCATCCTCCTGGGGCTGCTATGTCAGAGCTGGAGAGTGTTCAGGAAGGACTGGGGACACTAATGTGCCATTGATTTTTATTTTGCTTTTTTTGGGTGTAAAATCTGCTTTTGGAGAAGCTGGGCCAGTGTTACCCATCCTGATCTCCTCCCTGTTTCGCACACAAATCAGCTGGTGGAAGTGGGCCATGCTCAGGCTGAGGCTGCCATGGGGAAATCTGAGAGTGTCCCAGTGCTTCAGCAGGCAGGAGCTGCTCACTGGGCTCCCCGCCGGTGCCTGGGGCTGGCCCCTGGCCAAGGCTGCCATGCCAACCCTCCTCAGGGCCAGGCTCACCCTGTCCGTGTCGGCACAAATCCAGGTCGTGCAGGGTGTGGATGCAGCAGTGGGCTGGCTGGGGAGTGTCACATGGGCCGTGCCCCCATCCCAGCTCTCCATATGCTCTGCAGGATGATGCCATGCATGGGCATCTGCATTTCATTCTCAGTCCTTGCCATTCTCAGCTTCACACCTTGTCCCTGTGGTACCCTGGCAGGGAACGCTCTTGGCTCCTGCAGGAAGGGCAACAGGGATGTGATGACTGAGAGAGGGGGAAACTTGAGCAAGAGCCCTTGGCCAAAATTAACCAAAACAGGGGCTGTGTCTCCCTGTTTCCTCAGATCCCAGTCTGGGAAAGGGCTGCCTGACTGGCAGGCTGGAACTCAGCCAGTATCTGGACTCTGCTCCCTCCAGGATGAGGGGCAGCAAAGTGGCTCCAGGGGCAGAGAGGGGGCTGATGTCCCCTCATCCCAGCTCCCAGTCTTGCCATTTCCAGCCACTTAAAAATTAAAGGAGCCAATATTGCTGCACGGCTGGAATCGGTCACTGCCACAGAGCTTAATTGAGGTTATTTGTTGGCTCTAGAACATTTGGTCACCTCTGCTGCTGTCTGCTCCAATGTTTCCTGCAGCCCCTGCCCCAGCGAGGGTGTCTGCCCACGCTCTGCAGATGCTGTCCTCAGCTCCAGGAATGTGGAGGGTCCTGTGGACCTGACCAAACCTAGTGTCCATGTGGGACAGGATGCAGCACCAAATTCCTTTGCAGGCTGATTTTTGGGGTGGTTGCTTTCTGGGGACAGAGAGGGCTGAGTGGCTCCTGCCAGCCCGGTGCCTGCACTCAGCCCAGGGACAAGGTCAGGTGGACTGGGAAGTGCTACCATGGCCACAGGATCGGGGCACACAGCCGCACAGGCACCTCCTGGGATAAGCAGGTTGTGGGTACCTCCCAGGGCACCACAGGTCACTGTGAGCCTGTGTACAAAGAAAGGAGGGCTTATCCTGCCAGCACCTGAAACACCCTGAAGACACACATTAATGGAGCCAAAACCGTGTGGTTAAAAACTGCCCTGCCACCGTCAAGCATTTTGGCCACCCCCATTGTGGACTCACAGCTCTGGGTGCTTGGGGGAAATTCAGGTAAAACAGCCCCCCCAGCCTCCCAAACAGCTGCTTTCTGCCCCAAAGCTGCAGTTGAGTTGCACCCAGCCCCTGCTCCAGGCTGGTGGGGCTTCAGCACTTCCCACCACTCCAGCCTTCAGTGCAGGGGTGCCATCCAGGATCCCAGATCACTCCAGAAACCACCATGGGCCAGAAGATGGTTGGTGGCTGACCCAGAGATGGATGACCTGACACACCTGGTGCCTTCCTCATCTTTACACCCCCTCAGTGCTGCCCAGCACTCACCTGGAAGAAGGAACTCTGAGCAGTCACCAAGCCACAGGGTTTTGTGGTCTGCAGGGAAACTCCACCAAGTTTGGCAGGTAAATATACTCCAGTAGCAAACACAGGCTGTCTTGTCCTTCCCCTTTCCTTGGGGGTGCTAAGACCTGCCCCTGTCTGGGCCAGGGCAGGGGGCACACAGAATAATAGAATGGTTTGGGTGGTAAGGGACCCACCTAGTTCCAACCCTCCTGCCATGGGCAGGGACACCTTACACTAGACCAGGTTGCTCAGGGCCCCATCCAGATTGGTCTTGAACACTTCCAGGAATGGGGAGTCCACAGATTCTCCGGGCAACCTGTTGCTAGTGCCTCACAACCCTCACAGGAAAGAATTTCCAGGCACATGGTGTGATTCTTGGGCGTGTGCTGTGCAGGGCCAAACTTGGACTTGATGTTCCTTGTGGGTACCTTACAACTCAGAATATTGTGTGATTCTGTGATTCTTCTCAATACCTAATCTAAACCTACTCTCTTTCAGCTAAAACCATTCCCCCTTGTCCTGTCACTACATGCCTGTGTCAAAAAGTCCCTCTCCAGATTTCTTGTAGCCCCTTTAGGTACTGGAAAGTGCTCCAAGGTCTCCCTGGAGACTTCTCCAGGCTGGACAGGCCCAACTCTCTCAGCATGTTTCCAGTTCTCTGAGGATCTTCATGGCCCTCCTCTGGACTCACTCCAAAAGGTCCACGTCCTTCTTATGTTGAGAGCTGCAGAGCTGGACACAGGACTCCAACTGGGATCTCGTAAGAGCAGAATAGAGGGGTAGAATCACCTCCCTGGACCTGCTGGTCACACTTCCTGTGGTGCATCCAAGCCTCCATCCCAGAGTCCAGATTTGGGCCACCACTGTGATTAGCCGTTAAACAGTGCCATCTCCTGGCAAAGCCACCGGCCATGCCGAGCCCTGTCACCGTGCTGGGCAGCCAGCAAAGGTATGTGGGGCCTTGGGCATCCCTGGAGCACCCCAACCACCCAAATCCAGCCCTGCCTGATCCATGCCCTGCCCTGCCCCAGCAGCATCTCTGCATTGCTGGGAGGGGTGATGCCACTGCAGTATGAAACTTTCTCTTGGGATGATCACCAGAGCCAGAGCATCCTCTTGACACCGGCTTTGGGTAGCTTCAGCAGGCACAGCTGGGATGGGGCAGAGCCTGGAGATGTTCAGCTGCAGTCCTTGGGTGTCTGCTTTGAACTAGGCTTGCAAAAGGGTCAACACCCCTTGTGGCCACCCTGACAGTCCCTCTGTGCCGTGGGCATCTCCCATGGGAGATCAGTGGCTTCTGGCAGAGGCTTGTCCAGCCTGAGCTGATCGCTGGTCATGCCTGGATGGAAGCTGGCAGCACTGCAATCTTGCTCTGCAAAGGGGTAGACTGCAATCTTGCTTTGCAAAGGAGCAACCAAGTGCGAGGAGCTCAACCAGAGCCAGAGACCTTCAGGGCAGAGCAGCAGCTACCCACAGGACTTCTGTCCCCAACCTGTCCCCAGCCTGTCCCCATCCCTGTGGGAGGGCG